ATAACCGAAAAATTGGTATGGTACAAATTTTATAAAATAAAAGGCCGAACAGATCCATTGACACCCCTACCCAAGAGAGGTAGTTTCAAATATCTTGGATCTATAATAAAGGTAACGGGGAGATTAATGAAGATGTCACGCATCGTATCGGAGCAGGATGGATGAAGTGGAGACTCGCTTCTGGTGTCTTGTGTGATAAGAATGTGTCGCTGAGACTTAAAGGTAAGTTCTACAAGGTTGTAGTTAAACCAACTGTGTTGCATGGAGCAGAGTGTTGGCCGGTCAAGAACTCTCATACCCAGAAGCTAAAAGTAGCTGAGATGAGGATGTTGAGGTGGATGTATGGGCATACCCGGTAGGATAAGATTAGGAATGAAGTTATTCGGGAAAAGGTGGGAGTAGCCCCTGTGGAGGATAAGATGCGGGAGGCGAGGTTGAGATGGTTCGGGCATGTTAAGAGAAGAAGTACAGAAGCCCCAGTTAGAAGGTGCGAGCGGTTAGCCTTGATGGGCAGCAGAAGCGGTAGAGGTAGTCCTAAGAAGTCTTGGAATAGGTTATTAGGCGGGACATGGCGCAGCTGGAGCTGACTGAGGACATGGCCCTAGCCAGGAGGGTGTGGAGGTCAAAGATTAGGGTAGAAGGTTCGTAGGTAGTCGAGTGTTTCTCTGTCTTACTGAGTTCGCTAGCATTAGTGTTAGTATAATATCTTTTATTCATAGATGGCTATTACTATCTAGAGTTTGACTGCATTCTTGGTTTCGGCCTTATTTCATCTTGCTGTTATTCCTACTTGTTGCAATTACCATTTCTTTTTCAGTTATTCTCTAGCCGAGGGTCTATCAGAAACAGACTCTCTGCCCTTGCAGGGGTAGGGGTAAGGCTGTGTACATCTTACCCTCCCCATACCCCACTTGTGGGAAATTACTGGGTTTGTTGTTGCTGTTGTTTTTTTTTTTTGTTTTTTTTTTTTGGGGGGGGAGGGGGTTTTAAGAGACTTAGGGAAGATAAAGGGGAAAGGAAAAGTTTGGTGAGAATAAACCTACATAACTCAATGTATGACATTTAGAAGTTACTTGAAATGTGCAACTCATTACAAGCTTCTAATTGGCTCACTGGTCAAATAATACCTACTGATCACTGAGCCGTAAGGTCCAGTCGTACCCAAAAATCAGAATACATAAAACAAAAGTAGGAGACCTGAAGGTTTGGCAATAGTTAAGTCCATCTCAAAACTAATCAAAGGCTAATTTTACTCTTTTATGCACTTATAATCTCAAAAATCAAACAGCAGCAAATGCGGGCATAACCCCTCAAGAAACAGATCATTTTCTAGATTATTTCTTTTCATATTACATTTGGCCCACCTTATCCACAATCCTTTGCACTAGTTCACATTTTTACCAACTAGTGACAAAGTGCTAATTTAATTTTCTAAGAACATTTTCTTAGCGTGCTATTTTAATGTGCACAAAGTCCAAGCCTTCTTTCATACATCAAGACTGGCATTTCTTACTTTTTTTTAATAAGTCAAAAGTTTCGTTAATGATGCACCAAGAAGGTGTTGTGTACGTCTAGATTGTTTTAGTTTATTTTCTCAAATTTTGTTATTCTTCCGCACTAGCTCTCTCTATTCTTTTTAAACTAGCCTGCTTCATTGCGACCGCAGCACCATATAAACTTATACAGCTAAAGGACTTACACCAAATTGATGAAATGAAACTACTGAGAAGTAGAGAAGCATCAGCATTTACTCATTAAGCTTGAGAATTCAGCATACAGGATTAATACAAAAGCTTTATATTATTTTTCTTGATTTCCAAATGGGATTTGTAGGATGATGGCATGAGTTGAGCTTAAATGGAGAATTGAAGATTCATATAGCTGACCCCAACTTGTTTGGGACTGAAGCGTAGTTGTTGTTTTGTTCCAAATGGGATTTGAACCTATGACCTAAAGCAACTTTCGAACCCCTTTACAACTATGTTCAAACTTTTCTTCACTTAAGGGGAGATTCAACCGCTTGTATATAACCAAAAAAATCATTTTTTACCTTATTTGCACAGTATAATTATTCGATAAAGGGGATTCAGTTCAACCCCCTTCTCTCTACTTAGTTCCGCCACTGACTGAGATAGGAGAGAAGCATCATCATTTACTCATTACGCTTGTGAATTCAGCATAGGAGGATAAACTCAAAAGCTTTATATAACTTTTTGCTTGATATTAATTTAGGGGTAAGGTTTGCGTACACTAACCTCCCCAGACCCCACCGGTGGGATTTCACTGGGTTATTGTTGTTGTTGTATTAGCAAAAAACTAAGCATGTAAATGCACCAAGGAACATATTTACAATTAAGACAGTGCATATAAAGAGGAAGCAAAAGAAGGTACCTTCCAAGGCCAAAGAGTAGTGATTGAAGTCTCAGCCATTGAGAAAAAAGCTGAAAGACTAAGAAGCGCTGCAAGAACTAACCCTTGCTCTTTAAAAACCCTGAGAACCTGCAAAAATGTAGGCCAAGAACCCCTCAACAGAACCAAACTCTGCTCTATAACCCCATTATATCCCCCATTTAAAACCCCTTCAACAGCAAGCACTCTTCTGCACCCAATTACAACAACCCCACATATCACAGCAGCCAAAACCAACCCTTTTTTCAACAACTCAAAAAATCGTATTTTTAAGCATGGCCCAGAAGAATCTTGGGCATTCTGAAAAACCCCATTTCCTTTAATTGACAGACAAATCCTAGAATTAAAATTACACCTGGAATTTTGATAAAGGTTAAAATTTGAAGCAACCCCACAACAGTAACGGAGGTTGTTATGGGCGGAGTGTTTAATGGGTAATTTTAATTGACGAGTATAAATGCGCGGATATGAACGTTTATTAGAAGAGGTGGTGGTGATGAATGAGGACGGATTAAAGAGTGAGACTTGGTGGACTGCTGCATCCATGGAATATTGTAACAAGAACTTGTGGAGAATTCAATTACTAAAAGAAAGCAAGAGGAATTGTGGGTATTTGGAGAAATGGGCTTTCGTTTGGAGTTTGAGGAGATGAAGAAATTGGGGAGAGCTCATTGCGTTCTTGGGTCACAAGAGCTCACTTGCTTCAAACTTTTTTGTTTCTTTTAAGCTATCAGCTCATCGAATCAACAAGCTTACTACGCTAACTAAAGCAACTTGTAGGTCCGAAATGACGGATTTGACCATCATAATGCCCGTAATCTCTCCTCATAACCTAGAGTCTGTGAATTCTCCATTTTATTTTTTGTCTTTTCCACTCCGTGAATTTCAGACCTGCTAATCAGATGGTTCGCACTCGCTATTAAAATGATATAGTTCTAATCGATGACACGGGAGGCGGCGTTAACAAGATATTGGAGGTTTGGAGACAGCGTCTTTAGTTTAAGGGTTTCAAGTTGAATAGGACTAAGACATAATATTTAGAACGCAAGTTCAACGACGTGATGGGAAATCAGATTTGGACGCGAGGCTTGACTCACAAGTCATCTCCAAGAGAGGAAATTTCAAGCACATTGGGTCAATTATCTAGAGGATGGAAAGATTGACAAGGATGTCATGCATCGTATTGGGATGGGCTGGATGAAATGGAGGTTAGCATCTAGAGTCCTATGTGACAAGAAGGTGCCACCGAAACTTAAAGGCAAGTTTTATCGAGTGGTAGTTAGGTCGGCCATGTTATATGGGGTTGAGTGTTGGTCCCTTATCCGGAAGATGTAAGTAACAGAGATGAGTATGATGAGATGGATGTGTGGGCACACTAGGCTGGACAAGATTAGGAATGAAGATATTGGGAAAAGGTAGGTGTGGCTCCCATAGACGACAATATGCATACAGCTAGGCTTAGATGGTTCGGGCACATGCGAAGGAGAAGCCAATATGCCCGGTTAGGAGGTGTGAGCGGTTAGCTTTGACGGGTATGAGAAGAGTTAGAGGGCAGCCTAAGAAGTATTGGGGTGAGGTGATCAGGCAGGACATGGCACGACTTCAGATTTTCGAGGACATGGCTCTAGATAGGAAGGTGTGGAGATCGAGCATTAGGGTGGATGTTTAGGAGGGAGTCGAGCGTTTTTCTTCCTTCGCATCGGGGGTGGGGCTAGCCTATTAGGGTGTTGTCTTTGGGTTATTAGTGGTGTAAGTTTGTGTCCACACTATTTTTCCGTTTTTTTCATAGTACAGTAGTTTTATTACTGGTTGTTGTTATTGTTTTTCTATCCATTTTCTGTTTCCTAAGATGTTAATATTATCTTTATGACTTTTGTTGTTGTCACAGACTCTATTGTCTTTTTTCGTTTTCTTGAGTTGAGGGTTTCTCAGAAACAGCCTCTCTATCCCTCCGAGATAGGGGTAAGGTACATTCTACCCTCCCCAGATCCACTTGTGAGATTTTACTGGACTGTTGTTGTTGTGGTTGGATAGTTACTTTTAAAGTCAGAATTATGATGAAAGGTTACTTACTTCATCTCACTACGATTTTGGTTGCAAATCTTCCATTTACATAAGCTCTATAAGCTTTATCCACAAATAAATAAAATACATTTATACAATTTAGATGGCCAATTTAATTTTTCACTATGATTTGTAAAATTTTCTTTATATTTTTAACTTTAGTTTTTCTTTAGGTTATGGTATTATTATAGAAATTTTAAGAAATACCAAATAACTAAAGTCACTGAAATTTGTAGTTTGACTCATGCCGAGCACATCGTGCTATTTATTTCACTTTATAAACAACAAATACTATAAAATTTATAACTCATAAATACTATTCCCATTTTACAATTTATTTTATCTCTGTTACAAAAAGGAGGAAGTTTTTTATAGTTCACTATAGATGAAACTTGAGAGTCATGAAACATAAACAGTAGTCAGTCTTCCCATTGAATTTTTCCTTTGCTGCACAAGGAGTTTATCTTAAAAGTGTTTCATTTAGCTTATACGGCAAAATTCGACACTAGTAATTTCACTTTCAACTCTCAACAAAAAGGTTACTTCTTTTACCCAGAAGGAGCAAAATCCGTGTACTCTTAGCTAACTAATCACTTGACTCAACATACATTCAAATTATTGAAACACAAGTTACGTATACATTTTCTCATCAAAAAGTCTAAACAAAAACAAATGCCATTTCACAATCAATATTGCATCACTAGATATAGGTTTCTTTCCCTGCCATAGGATTGTTACAGTTTCCACAGGCATGACCTGCATTTCGCTGGTTCTTGACTTCTTGTTCAAGCTATGATGTCCAAAGACGGAAACTCAAAACAGTATCGACTAAAGTACTCGTCTAGAGTCCAGGGGCGAAGCTACGTTCAACCAACCGACCACCCTTCGCCGGAAAATTATACTCCATATAAGGTAAAATATTACTTGTTATTGATTAAAAATAGACTTTGAACACCCTTACATAGCCCACTGGCAAAGGTTTGAACATACTTTCATCATCATCATCGTGTAACGTGATTAAAGAAGATTACTTTCTGAGACTCACGTATCTGAAACATTCTCAAAACTTGAATTTGACCTCATACTATACTCTGCCACGAGCTTAGCAAACAATGAGGATTCGTTCTCTAACAACCTGGCTGGAGTGTCGTATTCAGCAATGAGCCCTGCAGCATAGCCAAAAAAAAAAGAAGGTAAATAACAAGAATTTCCTCCTCCGCTTGCTCCAGAACGTAAACGATGATTCTTACCATGATCTAATAGTAGGACCATATCACTGTCAAGCACAGATGTAATCCTATGAGCAATGGTTATAACCGTGGAATCAGAGAAGTGCAGCCTTAGAGTTTGCTGAATCAGATTATCAGTTGCAGTGTCGACAGATGCTGTAGCCTCGTCAAGGACCAGGACCTTGCTCTTTTTCAGTAGCACACGGCCAAGACAGACCAGCTGCCTTTGGCCTACACTCCAGTTCTCTCCGTTCTCAGATACTGCAGTGACACAAAGAAGATAATTATTACAGCTCTAAAAGTGGAAATCATCAGAAAATGATGTGGTTCTTAAAGTTACCTGTAGAATAAAGTTTGCCTTCCTTCTTCCTCACTTCTTCTCCTAGCTGACACTTATCGAGCGCCTGAAACATAAAACATGAAACAAAGTTTCTCAATAAAATAAGTGTTCATTTTCCTATCTGAAACAAAATAAATCTAGAAATAAGCAAAACCAAGCTGTCACCTCCCAAATTTGTTCATCTGAATACTCTTCAAGCGGGTCTAGGTTGCTGCGAACTGTCCCCTCAAACATAGTTGGATCCTGTGGAATTATACTCAATCTAGACCGTAGATCATGTAGACCAATTGAGGAGATGCTGGTACCATCTATTTTTATTTGTCCAGCAGCTGGTTCAACTATGCGGAAGAGGGTCTGTATTAGAGTAGATTTACCGCTGCCTGTCCTACCGACAATTCCAGTCTTCTTTCCACCAAAGAAAGTGCATGTAAGGCCTCGCAACACTAGAGGCATGTGAGGAGCATATCGGACCTATTAAAAGTTTTCAGATATATCAACCCATACCAACAAATTAACCTGCATAATTAACACCAGAGAATAACTTAATTTACCTGAAGATTGCTAAAATCAACCTCTCCACAAGATGGCCAGTTAGGGTCTGGTCTGTTAGATTCTATGATAAGAGGAGGTTCACTTGGAAGAGCAGTATACTGAAGTATTCTTTCAACAGAAATAATTTTATTTTCCATCATACAAAGATTCCAAACAACCCAAGCTTGTAATATGTTCAGATTAAGCCCATATGTAACAGCTAAGCCAGCAACACCTGTAAATCAAGAAACGGAGAAAATGTGCTCTTAAGAGTTATTCAACACAACAAACTTCAAGGAAAGAAAACATGAAGATAGAAAACTTACTTGGGTCAATTGTTCCAACAGGAAGAGAGATCAAGAAAATTAATGAGAAAGCAAAAGTGATCAGAGATAGCATATCCAAACGCATGCAGAGCCACTCCATTGCAGCAGCGGTGTGAAACTTAGGTCGAGAATAATTGTCTATCAATTTCATACTTGCGTCCTGGAATCTAGATTCCTGATCGAAACTTCTAATTGTGCTTGATCCTGAAATTGTCTCGGCAAAGTGCTGTATTACTGGAGCTTTGCATGTCCCATTTAGTCGTGCCAGTTCTCGTGCTGATGGTATGTAATATTGCTGCAATTAAAACAAACCCACCACTTAAATGTAACTCATGTTTATAAATGTAGCTAAAGTTATAATTCACTTTGTGAAAAAGCATATACTAGTATTATTGTGAAGGCAAAAAACACGAAAAAGGGGATCGTAGCAACCTCCAACCAGATGGAAACTGCAATGATCGGAATAAAGACAATGAAGACCTGCCATGCAACTTGTGACATTACTCCAATAATTCCTAAAAGCTGTATTATTGTGAAGGCAAAGGATCCAACTTGAAAGGGAACGTTCAGATCAATTGCACTTTGATCTGTCGATGCCTGTTGTCATACCAAAGCACATTTGAGCAAATTTTGAAAAATATCGATTAGTCAGGTAACAGAAAGATTGAGACTAATAAGAGGGGTAAATAAAGGAAATATAATCATTCACTTACTCTGTTTAGGATCCGCCCACTTGGTGTGGCATCGAAGAAGGACATTGGAGCACGGAAAATGCAAAGATGCATTTTTTGGAAAAGCAATGAGGCTGTCTTATATCCAGCGGTAACAAGAAGCATGGTTCTAGCAAGGATGCAGAAAGCACTTGCGATTCCTAAAGCAACATATACAATGATGAGAGTAGAACCCCCAACAGGAGGTGGATCACTCTTTGAGACGGGAGTTGCCCAAGCCATCCAATAATTGCTTCCAATTTGAAGGAGCTGAAAACCAACTTGTGCCAACAGCATAAATGGCACGAGAGCACCTCCATATGCAGTTGTTATATATTTCCAGTAAATTGCAAAACCAACACTACCTTTCTCTCTTTCCTCCTCCTGAACAATTTGTCCCTTTGTTCCAACAATATCATCCACTTTACCATTTTGGCCATCTGGAATCTTTTTATCCTTCTGCACATTTGTATTATCACCAGTCATTTCCACACTCTTTCTCAATGCTTCTCCCTTAACTGTGTCAATTGCTGTTAAAGCTTCTTGGTGAGCACCCACAAGTTCCATGAAGTCACTACCTAATTTGAGAAGATCATTGTATTTCCCAGCTTCTCTGATCCTTCCATCTTTCATGACCTGAAGAGAAATATCATAGTCAAATAAGTTAAGTCTATATATGGATATTAAGCATACAATAATTACTGAAAGGAAAGAGTACCAAGATCAAATCCGCAGCAGGCAAAAACTCCACTTGATGTGTAACATATAAAACTGTTTTTGAATTCCATAGCCCCATTATACATTCCTGCCATTAAAAGATGGATCAATCAAGTGGCTAGGTAAAAAATATCAAGCATGAAAATAAAGCATATATATGAAAGGACTTACATTGAAGAGATGGGATCCGGTATGAGCATCCACAGCACTGAACGGATCATCAAATAGGTAAACATCAGCATCTTGGTAAAGAGCACGAGCAATCTGTATTCTCTGCTTCTGTCCACCGCTCAAATTAATGCCTCTCTCCCCTATTACTGTTTGATCGCCAAAAGAGAGAATTTCCAGGTCTTTCTTTAAGGAGCACGCTTCAAGAACTTTATCATACTTCTCCCTCTGCATCTCTTTACCAAATAATATGTTCTCCTCTATCTTTCCACTCTGTATCCAGGGCGACTGTGCAACATAAGCTTTCGTTCCGCTGAGTTTAATAGTCCCTGATAATTTGGGCATCTCTCCTAAAATGCTAGACAGTAAGCTTGATTTTCCTGAACCAACTGTACCACAAATGGCAACTCTCATGCCATTAAGCACTCTAAGATTTACATCCTTTAGAAGTGGAGTCAAGGTGGATGCATCCCAAGCGAAGTTCCCACC